TTTGAATGAGTGACAGCCCTACCAGGAGCTACAGCCTATGAACTGTCCCAGGGGTAAAAGTCCCTCAAGCGCATTGTGATGTGCATTTCCACAGCAAGGTCGAAGCCCAGGGAAAAGTGAACAAATTAGCCCGCTGGCGTAAAAGCATGATGGTCGGAAGCAGGGTTGTAAGAATGCTGTGTAGTAAATGTATACAATGGTTCACACATACTAATGATGGAAGACAAACTGCAGTCAGAGCTGAAATTAACACTTTCTGTAAGTTTAGCAAGTGTATTTTTTATTTTAGTGCATGTACAGTAGCAAACACAGGGATCGTTAACCCCAATAATGTTTCACGCCATCTGATGTCATGACCTCTGCCGCAGTCTTTTCCTGCTGTGCTTTGTGTGTGGAGGAGCTGAGCTCTGCCCTCGCATCAAAACGCCAGGAGAAGCCACCCCACAAATGCCAAAACTATATTTTCTGATCCACTAATCTCAGTGACTGGTCTCTGCATGTACGCCCGCTGATAAAATGCTCCTTACAAACTGGGGGCACTTCTCTATACTTGTGGACATGGAAACCGTCTTTTTCATTTCAAAGTCTGCATTAAGCCAAGTATAGATCAAAAAAACAGAAGTGTTCTTGCTCTGCCCATCAGGATGGGCTCTGGGAGCTGACTTGTACGGACTTGGGGCAGCCAAGTATCTCAGTACATGCTGGGTGCTAGATATTGGAGTTTGAGTCGGCTGTTATTTTGTTCTAGGACTGTTAATATGCTACATTATAAAGTTTTGATATTTTTTCAGGTAACCACTTAGAGAATAGGTGGTCAGTTTATCATGTAATGCCAATTTGTAAATTTACTCTGTTTTCAGTGTTGCCAGTACCTGCTAGCAGACCAGGCACCTACAACTTTAGAGCACAGTAGCCTGTTGGCAAGGACGCTGATGTTCCAATTGCATATTGAGAGTACTGCATCCTCCCATGCTTGGGAGTTTGGACTTAAAGTTTGAATTTACCAAGTACAGGAGTCTGAACTTGGCCTACTTGGTATTGGAAAAACACTCCAGGAATCACCATGGAGCCCTGTTTTTCACCAATCAGCGACGTTCAGCACTGTAGGCCTTGTCCCGGTAGTTTTTGGACCTTCAGAAAATACTAAACCCTGACTAGGGACTTTTTTCAGGTTTAGAACTAGGCCCTGGAATGAAATTTAGACCCTGTTCTTCCAGTGGAAATGGAGCTACAGGGACTATGTTTTGAAAAAGATTCGGGGAAGGTTTATCTGGTGGAAACAGGGCTTATCTGATTTCCTCTCCCTTCATACTCCTGAGTTTAAACCATGAGAGAGAGCTCCCCTCTATGCTGTCATTAACTGCTGGCCACGGTCCTTTGTTCATATGCTAACAGATAAAGGAGTGTGCTGACAAAGTGGAGCTCCCTGGAGGAAGAAAGTGTGGAGGAGGAGGTGGTGCTGGAGTAGGGGGCAAGAAACCTGCAGCTAAAGCTCCTGCACCTGCTGAAGCTCTGCCCAAATCCCCAGCTCCACCCAAGAAGATCCAGTCTGCTGCTGCCAGCAAGGTACACTCAGAGCAGTGCACATCCAGAAAAATAAAATGAATCTAAAGTTTTATTTTGACATCTTGTTGTACCCCAATTTTGCTGGCCCATGGACAGTATGATCCAGCACAGCTAAGTGGTATTAATGGTCTACAATTATGTGTCTGTGTGTGTGTGTCTCTTTTTGCAGCCGTCAGCAGGTCCACCTAAGAAAGCTAAACCACCCTCTGCAACTGGTGGAAAAACCAAGAAGACCTCTGACAGTAAAGAAATCACAGAGAGTGAACTGTCTGTAAGTTTGGCCTTTTTCAGGGTGTCCGCGGGATTTTAAAAAGTGATTAATCAAAATCGCCAAATTTAAGGCCATTAAAAAGTGTAATTTGGTTTAGAGGTATTATCTTTTTTAAATAGGTATTATTTTTTCAGACCATGGTGTCCTATTCTGATTGAAATTCTATCTGCTAAAATTTGCACTGGTTCGTTTAAATGTGGGCTTTAGCATATCGGGGCACATAATCAAAGATCCTCGTCTAGTCTCAACTTTGTGTGTGATGCCGACGTCATATTCAGTGGTCGTTCGACATCTCAAACACTTTGCGTGCTCAGCTCAACTGGATAGCCAACTGGCTAGCTTGCGTTGTTGACTAGTTTGGGCATATCTTCAACGTCCAGACAACCATCGTCGTCGTCATGGGCAAATGCAAGTTTTCTGACAGCTGGTTGGAAGACCCAGTGTTTAAGGACTGGCTCAGGCCTGCAGTATGGAATAACTGGCAGGCTTATTGTTCGGTTTGTAAAAAAAACAAACAACATAAATGTCAACTGGATGGGAGCTAGCGCACTTCGGTCGCATATGCAATCAACTAAACATAAAAATGGAACGTGCGGTAGGCGAGAGCAATTAACTCTATTCTCAACTTTCTGTGCTGCTGCACCACCACCACCGCAAACTAGTGCCACAGTACAAGCCAACGTTTCGGCTCCAGGAACTACGTCTGACCTCCGGGTGACTATGGGCGCCACACCAACACTGCGTGCAGAGGCTCTGGTGTCTAAACACTGCAGTTAAACACCACTCATTGAACTCCAACGAAGGAATTGCGGAGCTGTTTAAAGAAATGTTTCCCTACTCTGACATCGCCAAGTCATTCATGTGTGGTAAAGACAAAACCGGGTACATCATCAGATTTCGGTTAACATCGTTCTTGGCTGGGCCATTTGTGTTGATGTTTGATGAGAGCCTCAATCAGGCGTCAAAGAAAAAACAGCTTGACATCCATATTCGATACTGGGAGGATGGCCGTGTCCAGTCCAGATACTTTGGATCTCAGTTTTTGGGACATGGAAGGGCCGACGATTTGTTGCATCACATCAAGGTAAGTTAATATTCTTTATGCTATATAGGCCTACCTAGGCGGTGTCCTGTGGTCATTGACCCGGGCGACGTCCGAGCCGGTGTGACTCTTATTTTTCCAACTCTCATTACTGATGAGGTAGGCAGATAGCATTAAAGGCCTTGCCTAAGGACCCAGGCAGGATAATGACCATGCCCTGACCGGGGTTCGAACCCCCAAGCTTCCGTACCAAAGTCAGTGGTGTTACCCACTGAGCTATCCAGAGAGAGAGAGAGCGAGAGCATGCTCAATCGGTGGCATGGTGCATGTGAGGCGTGTTCTTTTTATATTGAAAAGGGAAGACTAATAAGAGGATATATATTTCACAGTGTGAAATTTATTATGCATTAACATATCAAAATTATCATGTGCACATGGATCTTCACTGTTTAGGATAAACAAAAGACTGTCCTCAACTTAGTGGTATACAATATTTGTATGAAAAGATGCTACTTTCTAATTGGTCAAAAACTGTTGGGGAGAAGCCGGGGTTTAGACTTAACTCTCCCGTTATTGGTCCTTCAGTCCGTCCGTCCTCCAATCGTCCTCTCTGCTCCAATCATCGTGGACAGCGCCCTAGGAAGGGGAAGAATACCTATACTACTTTAATTCCTACATACACACTCACTTCTTCCTTTATTTCTAACTAACTGCCTGCGTGTGCATAACTGTTCTCCCTTTGAAGCTTTCTCATCTACGTCTAATCTAGTTTAATAATCTTGGAGCCTTACCGTACCAAGACTCCTTTGGGTCCACTGGTCCAGAGGAATGATAAGTAACTATGAGCCCCCTTAGCTACAGCTGTAAATCTAATGAAATTCAGTAATTTAGTGGACAAGACTTATGATGTTGCATTAGTGTTTCAGTGACTCACATAGCAAATATTTGACCAGTGGTTCAGTGAACATATAGGGTGATTGTAGCTGCACTGGTCTAGTTCTAGTTTAAGGATCGCCACGCTTCATACAGATGTCTTTAGAAAGTTTTATTTCCCTCTCTGCTCCTCAGACACCGTGAAAACTACAAACAAAGTAACAATAAACCATCTTAAATATACAAATAGAGGCAAATGAATAACAAGCACAAATACAATATATACACAT